TTCCCTTCTGCATCAAAGACATTATAAACTTGCACATCTAGGACAAGCATACAGAGCCACCCAGAAAACAGCCTCATCTTGCCCAGGCCTACAGGAAGAAAAACAATTACTTCATGTTGCTTCCTTGGATTTTCTCTGTTTCATTCATTCCACATGTTTGCTAGACACCTGTCATGTGGAAGGCTCATCCCAAATCCCCCAGGGAATAGAACCCCTGTCACAGCAGTGCATGGGGCAATATGACATGAGCATGAGGAAGTATCATTCATGAGAGGAGAGCAAAAATGCCGTAAAATCTCTCCAGTCTCTCTCTCCATTTTTCCTAAAGAGCAGAAGATAAAGTCAGAGGAGAAAGACCAATCAACATGTTCTCCCACCACTGCAAACCCTGGTGGGACCCAACATGGACCCATTTTGAATACAGAAGTTCATTGTCCACCTCCTTAGGACCCATTCCCCCTCTTCCTGGTAGCAGCTGTTTCTCCCCCGTCTCACTCCAGGGGTCTGGGTGGGTCTCTACCCCTGACTGTAAAGATGTACTGAGTGACATGAGTCTGGCCAATCACAGTGAAGCCTCCCTGTGGCCAGAGATTGGTACAGAGATAGGCACATATAGTAAGCTAGTCCAATCAAAATGACCCTAGCACTTTTGTGGGAGCTAGGAGTAAAATCTCTGGCTACCTCTTATTGAAGGCTATGGAGGATGAGAAGTCAGAGCTGCTGAAGTCACAGTAACCATCACGCCATCTAGGGGAGACAGCCTGGGGCTGCTAAGGACCATCCCAGAACAACATCAACTGAGCAGAAGTCACAGTGGGGAGAAACCAAGTCTCATGAGATCATCTGGGCCCTGGCGCCAGCCATACCTGCTGCCAGAGCTACTCCTGGATTTACCATGCCATAATAATTCCTTTTATTACTGCATCAATAGGTGAGACAAAATGAATTTCTGTTACTTGCAGAGAGAGACCTAGCTGATTCATGTCCACATAGGGACCATAAAGCATGCATTACTCCAGAGTGGAGACCTGCTTTAAAGATACTTTCACGTAAGTGATCCCATGGGACCTTTACAGTGACTCTGAGAGGCAGCGTCACGGCTTGGGGAGCAGAGAACACTCACTGAAGATCAGAACACGATGTGCTCCACAGGCCTTCCCACTCAGAGTGGGCTCTGCGCATCAGCAGTACAGCATCTCCTAGGAGTCGTCAGAAATGCAGAATCAGGGTTGGGTGTCATGATGCAGCAGCTTAAGCCACAGCTAAGGATGTCTACATCCCATAACTGGAGTGCCAGTTTCAATCCTGACTACTCCACACTTCCAATTCAGCTTCCTACTGAACCTAGGTGGCAATGGATGATGGCCCAAGTATATGTATGGGTTCCTGCCATCCATGTGGGAGCCCCACATGGATTTCCTGGATCCTGGATTCAGCCAGGGCTGGATGGCCACAGGCATTAGGGGAGTGAACCAGCAGATGGAAGATGGATATTTTCTCTCTCTCTTTCTCTCTCTCTCTTCCTTCTTCCTCTCTCCCTCCTTCCTTCTCTGTCACTCTGCCTTTCAAATAAGTAAATCTTTAAAACAAACGAAAACATAAACTCAGAATCACAGCCCTTGCTCAGAAACACATTTTAACAAGACCCCTGCGTGGCTGGCACACACACTGCAGTTGGAGAGGCTCTGTCCGTTAGAACGCTGCCTCTGTTTCTTCCTGCCCAGGCTACCTGGTTTCTCTCTGTGTTTTCCTGTGGACGACAGAGATTATAATGACAATATAATGATGCAGCAAAACCAAAATGTTCTTAGGTTTTCCTCATGGCCTTTCCAGTAACTATGATCTGGGGCAAGTCACCTATTAGCCCCAGTTTCCTCTTGTGTGAAATTGAGATAATGATACCTGTCTGACAGGGCTGACGTCAGGATGAAGGCAGATAATGTATGGCAAGTGTTTGGGACATTATTTGCCCCCAAATAATTCAATTAATGGTACACATTATTGTTATTGTTGTACTCTCTTAATTACTGTAATTATCCACCCTACGCGCCTCACACGGTAGGGAGATTGTGAGATTTAAAGGTAATATAAGTTTAAAAAATTGCTAAAACTAAAGAACTCAAGGTATAGTTCTTTCCTGTTCTGGCAACTGAGGTTCCCAGAGGTTAAGCAACTCATCTGAGCTTGCCCCAGCAGGAAGGGATAGCACCTGGGTTGGCACCACCACCCTCCAAGCTGGCACAGGTCACGAGGCTGTGGATGGTTCTGTGGTTACACGTCTCTCCTCCCACCAGACTGAGCTCCTCACACGCCTGCCACTTCCACACCCATGGCACCAGGCCCAGCTCTGGCCAACGGTGAACACTGAATGAGCATCTGCAGAATGCAAACCTTGACCACATGATCTTTTTAAAAAAAACCCATGGTTTTTGCCCCATCCCGAACTATCTCCCTCCGTAAGGCATTACAGCATCTTGGTACTTTAATGTAAGAAGCTGATTACCACTGTAGCTCCTAATTAGAAACTTACGACAACATCTCATCTGGAGACCAAAGCTCCTCTGTGAACTCAGTGCAGAAATTCAGTTCCAGCCCCAGGGGAGAAACCAGGAGAACAGGAACTTTGGCTGGGTACAGAATGGGGAGGGATCTTTCACTGAGAGAAGGAGGGGAGGGGAGGGGAGGGGAGGGGAGGGGAGGGGAGGGGAGGGGAGGGGAGGGGAGGGAAGGGAAGGGAAGGGAAGCGAAGGGAAGGGAAGGGAAGGGCTCACATTCTGCTTGGAGCACCCTAGTTGGCAAAGGAACTTCAGAGGCAACAATGCAAGCAAAGCAGAATCAGCTTGGGCAAATGGTTGACATATTCCTGGTCTACATATGGAGACCTGTCAGAACGCTATCCTGCTGGAAGCAACCACCGAGCCTTTGTTTTCTGGCTGCAAACTAGAAGATTAAGGGCATTGTTAAGGACTATGAGACCTCAAAAGGGACCCTAAGTAAATGAGGAATGAGATGAAGTAAAGTGGAAAAGATTCCTATTGAATAATACAGAAGGTACAAAATAAGAGCATAGACTTAGATGCAAATATAGCATTAATTATAAGAAACCCAAATAGATTCAGTGCTCCAGTTAAAAGAATTTCTGTAAATAAGAAGACATAGTGCAAAAGGAAAGTATGGGCACTGACTTAAAAAGAAACTTCTTGCCAAAGAATATCCAGATGGAATAGCCAAAAAACAGGAAAAAGTGCTCAAGCTCAGTTAGTAATTAAGAAAATAAAAAATGAAACCATAATAAACCATTATACTCTCCTGCAGAAAGGCAAAATTGAAGTCAGACAAGTCAAAGTGCTAGCAAGAATGTGGACCACTGAAAACTCCCAAACTACTAGGAGTGCAAATGTGGAAAGAGCTTTCTATCGTCTAATAAAGTTATGGGTAAGCATGCATTGTGACTTAGCAACTCCAAGTCTACTTATTTGCTTACCCTTAGTTATATCCTCATGAGCATGTATAGCAGGATAACATGTTTGGGAAGGTTTCTATTAGCCTTGTTCCTAATATCCTGCAACCGGCAGCAATCCAAATGTCCTTCAGCAGTAGAATGGATAAATAAATTGTACAACAGGGATTTATATAACAATTAAATAAACAGGCACACCCAACAACATGGATGACATAACGTGGACTGAAAGAAGACCTGAAAGAATACAGGTGGTATAATTCCACTCTTATAAAGCCTAAAATCAGGCAAACCTAAGCTACAATATGGCTTGGATATGGCTTGTCCCCTAGAAGTTCATGCACTAGAGGCATGGTCCCAAGTTTGGCAATACTGAGGTGGTGAAACTTTTAAGAGGCGTGGCCTAGTGGGGTGATTTCATCACTATGTGCAACACCCTCAGGAGGGATTAATGCAGGTATCAAGGGACCCTAATTAGTTCTCACAAGAGTGGGTTGTTGTAAAAGAGCAAGCCAGGCCCCGGAATGTCTTGGGCTTCCTGTCTAGTCATGTGACCTCTTCTGTACCTGCTCCCACCATCATGATGCTATCTCTCATGGGCCCTTACCCAAAGATGAACAGATAGGGCCACCCAATCCTGAACTTACAGCCTCCCAAAATATGACCTAATCAAACCTCTTTTTTTCCTCTTTGATGAAGTGCCCAACCTCACGTATTTTTCTGCAGCAACAGAAAAGGGATTAACATTTCTACAATAAAGTTGAAGCAGGCATTACTGTGGTAGAACTATAAGAGAAAGCATGGAAATCCTAAAAGTGAGAAGAGTGGAGAGGGAGGGCTGGTTGAGAGGAGAGACTCACAGGGACTCTGTGTTCTGGTCAAATTCTATTCTTTGACTTTGACTGTAATAGTATGGGATTTATGAGCTTTCATGCATTAATAATTTTACAGTTTTACTTTTACATCTGTTTGTATGTTACATTTCACAATTTAAGAAAAAGAAAGAAATATGAGATGAACTAAAAAACAAAGCCCTCTTCAGAATGATCTAAATTCATTACTGAATTCTCACCATGGCCATTTCCTCCAGGTACTGCCTAGAAGAATGGGACTTAAGATACAGATATGGAGAAGGAAGGAGATACTAAGAGATCATGGGGTAGGAGAGGAATTAGGTCTTGAAGGCCTAGATGGGCAGAGAAGAAGGGTGTGCTCATGTTTTATGCCCTGAACTCCCATCACCGACGAGCAATCACCTTTCCCCCTCTTGCTTCTTTCTTCCAAATTTCCCCTGTAAATAAGATTTTCCTCAGCTCCCAGGCAGTCCCAAGCCTCCCTTACATTTTGCACTTACCTCAGGGAGCGCTTCTCTTACATATTGTAATGGTCTGCTCTCCCAAGTGATCTCTTCAAAGCCATTAATTTTGAGTCATTTTTGAATCACACCCCTTTCCCATCAACACTTAGGTCAAGGTCTGACCAGTAAGGGAAACTTGGCACATGCTTGTTGAATGACTGCATGACTGAAAGCATGCTTTACCTTCAGCTGCAGTTCCTTGTATCTCTTAGACATCCGAATGAGCAACTTCTCACCATTGATCACAGCAGATTTTTCTTGGTAATACTGGACCATGGCCTGGGCAGCTTCTGTGTAAGCCATCTCTAAGAAGGCCTGGGGAGAAAGGAAAGACATACCCTGGACTTGACTTTTATGGTCTTCAGCAAAGTTCAGTACAGGGAACGAGTCTACGTATGGGAAGTTCAAGGACAGACAAAACCAACCGATGGTGACAGAGCTCACAGCTGAGCTTCCCTCTGGGGGAATCCACTGGAGAGGACATAAGGAAATCCTCTATTTCTGGATTATAAATATTCTAGAAATGTCCCATATCTTGACTGAGTGCTAATTATATGGATGTACATATGTTAAAAATTAATGGAGTTGTACACTGAAGACACGTGTGCTTTCTGTACTTTAGACTGTATACTTTATCCCTCAATAAAAAGGAAAAAAAGTCAGTACAAGGAAGAGCTGTCTTTGATCCCATCTGTTCAAAGAGACCTCTTTATTTACCTCACCAAATGAACTCATTATCTAATGGCTCCTCTCCTGATCCCCATGGTTACTGAACATCATTCTTCATAACACATTCCACCCTGGGCTACATCATGCCACTGAAGCCCCTGTGGGATGGGAGAGTCCATCGTGGACCCACAGCTCCCAGAGGGGACTGCTGCAAATGTGGCCTTAGGCTGAGCCCTATAAAACTTGCTGTTTGGTGTGGCTGCAGCAGGAGGTAGAGGCACCGGCCCTGGTTATTTGAGTTCTCATTCCTTACACAGTCCCTTACACAGACAGAATATACTAAAAACAAACAAACAAGAAAAAAAAAAAAAACTCAGAAACCCCTAGGCTTGAAGAAAGGCACTGTCGTCACAGAGTTAGAGAAAGGAAACCCTGGGAGGTGTTTCCACCACATTTTCCCTCTTGATTTAATTGCTCAAATAAAATACTTTTGGAGAAATGGGTTTTTCCCTTCGGTCTGTGTCTACAGAGTTTCTAAGCAGTCTGTTTTGACGCCCGTCATTTTACCCCAGGAGCCGCTGTGGCAAATTTGCCGCTGTGGTTGTTTCCTGGATGTGTTTGGGTTGTACCGTGCTGAAGATGTCCTCATTCTGGTCCCTCTGTGTTGACAAGGAAAAGTGGTCCAGGACAGGGAATCTTTAACGTGAGCCCCTGACTCTCTCGTTTCCTTGAACTGAATGAGCTAAACAGCTCATTCCTCCTCCCTTCCACACACTTCTGAACTTCAGCTGCTTGGCTCCTCCCCCATAGCCAGTCCATGGTGAGAGCGTGGGTGGCTTAGAAGTCAATTCCCGAGTGTTTTTATTTCAAGTTCTGCCACCCAGCTTTCTAAGTGCCTCTTTGTTGACAGAAATATTTTAGCACCTCTAGTTCTCACCTGTCAAGTGGGAATTATACGAATCTAGGGACTCTCAATGCATTAATCTTGCAAGATGAATTGTGTATATTTGCCCAAAAATTAATTCCTGTGTAGTGGGCAGAAAGAGACAAAGTGAGTAGTCTGTCCCCAGGTTGGGGGAGGGAGGTCGCCGATGACCTGATGTGGTTTTGACTCCAAAATTCATGACTTAATTTAGAAAATAACTTCTCTTCTGTCTATTCCTCTGATTCATGCTACTAAAAATATTTATTTAAAAAGACAAAAATACTCTGATTTATGGCCATCCAGTGTATAAACTTCCCTTTGGGGGCTGGCGATGTGGCAAAGCAGCCTGAGCTAATGCCTGAGACACCGGCATTCCATATGAGTGCTGGTTTGAGTCCCGATTGCCCCACTTCCAATCCAGATCCCTGCTAATATGCATCTGGAAAACAGTGGAAGATGGCCCAAATGCTTGGTCCTCTGCCATCCATGTGGGAGACCCAGATAGAGTTCCAGGCCCCGGTTTCAGCCTGGTCCAGCCCTAGCCATCGCAGCCATTTGGAGAGTGAACCAGTGGATGGAAGATCAATTCTCTCTCTCTCACTCTCTCTTTCTTTCTCTTTCTCTCTTTCTCTCTCACTCTGCCTTTCAAATAAATAAACAAATCTTATAAAATAATAAACTTTTGACTTTAGAGACGAAGACAAACATATTCAGTCCCAAAAGTCTGCTCAGTCAATTCCCATAGATTATGACTTTTTAGTGCCTTAGGCGACTTAGACATCCATCCACTCCCACGTAGTCTCCCACTACGAGACCCAAGGGCCTCACACACCGATGCCAGGGACTGGTAAGAATGCCCACCCAGGTGGATACTTGTGCATTTCAGATGCATGGCTTTTCTTCACGCAGCTGGTTCCTGACTGATTCCAAATCCAGGACATCATTTATGTTAAACTTAAAAGATGAGACCGCAGCACTCGCTCAGAGGGTCAGCAACACAGCAGAGACTCATGTCCATGAATTTTTATTTGGGAGCCAATTATGTTCTCTCTGTTAATGAGCACCTCATTCCAAAGTGCCTCCCCTAGCCACAGGGTGGCTTACAAAGACCTGTGTCTATCACCAGAAGGGTAGGATAAAGCGAGGGGAAAAACAACACCCCCAACAGAAACCTCTATGTTGTGCCAACAGGAGGTCAGCTGTATCTCCTCTTTATGTTAGGACTGTTCTTTGAAATATTTATGCTGGCTTAGAGGTTAGGACACCCACATGTCATACTGGAATGCCTGCATTTAGTAACCAGCTTCCTGACAGTGCAAACTCCAGGAGGCAGTGGTCACTGCTCGAGGGATGGTTCTGCCACCTGTGTGGAGACCTGGACTGTTCTCGGCTCCTTGCTTCAGCCCAGCCTTGCCCTGCAGCAGCTGTCTCCGGCATCTGGGGAGTGAACCAAAGGAGGGGGAGCTCCCTCCCTCCCTCCCTCCCTCTCTCTCTCTCTCTTCCCCTTTCTCTCAGCCAAATATTAAAAATATAAATACACACACGTGTGTGTACTTGTGTATATGAGTATCATTCCCCTTCTCCAACCTGTGGCTTATCCCGTACACGTTGGAGTGAAAGTGCCCCGACCTACCTGGTTAGTCGACTTCATGAGGATGTAGTTCGTGACTTTTCCAAAGGGCAGCCCCAGGTTAATGACGTCATTCTCGGTGCAGCTTCCTTCTGGGAGGTTGCAGATGTGCACCACACGACCAGCACCTTTCCGCTGTGCAAACTAGTGGGAACCAAGAGCAGCCACTGGTTGTCAAAGCTCATTTCCCTCTCTCCATGCCCTCCCGACATGGCTGCCTTCCCCAAGACTGTAGTCTACAAAACGTATGCAGAAAGAGAATCCACTGGGACACACATGAAATATCAATTTTATACATTTCTTTGCAAAGAGTATTCGCAATATTTGGATGAGCAATGATATCCAGGGCTGTGGGGGAAATGGGGACATCGGTGTACCACTAGCGGGTGGCTGAGTATCTACACCCTTCTGAGAATACACCTGAGCAAAATTAAATAGGCTTAAAACGGGCACATAATTCCAGCATTCCACTTTTGGAAATCCATTCTACAGAAATAAAATACCTAAATAAAATAAAATAAAAGACTTAGAAGAGAGCTTCAAAAAGTTATGAAAAACTGGAATTATAAGTTTCACTTTGGTGCAAATTATTTTGAAATCCAAACACATTTTTTTCATAATATGCATTTTCTATGAACTTTTCAAAGCCTAGCTGTATGTACATAGATGTTTAATACAGTAATTTATGAGGTGACAAAAGTCCTGGAAACAAGCCGAATGTCCAGCAACAGGGGCAGGTTTGTGTAAATGATGGTTCAAGCATACAATGGAAAACTTCAGGGGCTGGCATTGTGGCACAACTGGTTATACCACCACCAGCAATGCTGGCATCCCATATTAGAAGGATGGTTCAAGTCCTAGCTACACTGATTCAGATCCAACTCCCTGTTAGCATGTCTGAGAAAGCAGCAGAAGACGGCCCAAATATTTGGGCCCCATACCCTGTCACTCATGTGGGAGACCCTGATGGAGTTCTTGGGTCCTGGCTTCTGCCCGGCCCAGCCTCAGCCATTGGGACCATTTGGGGAGTGAACCAGTGGATGGAAGATTTCTCTCTGTGCGTGTCTCTCCCTCACTCTCTATAACTCTGGCTTTCAAATAAATAAACCAACCTTTAAAAAAAAAAAAAAAAAAGGAAAGAAAACTATATCACCATTAAAAGGATGTAAATGTTCTGGTATGGGATAATTTTTTAAGACACAGTGTTAAGAAATAACCAATTACCAAGTAGTATGCATACAATGACACAATTTTTTTGTCAAACAAAACTGTATGAGAATAAGATAGATTAGGCAAATGCTATAAAAATGTTGATAGCTATTGGGACTGGATGATGGGTATACAAGGGTTATTTTGAGAGTCTCCACAATACTGTATGCTAGAAATTTTTTGCAATAGGAAAATTTTAAAGGGTATCAGCACAGATGGAGAAAGGCATGGAACAAGCTGGTTATCTTCAGAGGGGCAGAACAGGAAGGGTGCAAGGGGCGCTATCTTGAACCTTTTTCATACATACCACATACTGTTGGAGAATTTTTAAAATGTCCAATAAAGAAAAAAAAACACAGAAATGTTTGTGGGAACTGAATACATATGCACGAGTGTTCACAGCAAAGCCTGTGGTTTAGGCCAGTGGGTTTCAAAACATCTTTTGGCCTTGGAATTCTTTCTTGACATAAAAACTTGCTCAGAAGCCCCAAACTCTCAATAAATAAAAGAGCAGCTGTTCTGGTCGAAACTTAGGGGCCAGCCCCCGCAAAATCCCCACCAGGCAGTGTCGAAGGCACCTCTGGGAGTACAGCTGGGAAGCCAAGGCCCAGGCCAATCCAAGCTCCCGGAGGGAGGAACATCTCTGGTCCAGGCAAACACTACTGTGCCTATACCCTCTGGGACCTTCAGGGATTAGCAACCAGGAGCCAAGCCCACGTGGAAGAGAAGGATGCAATTTTCCAAACCAAAAACTTGCTCTAATAGCAGAGCCTACATTTGCACAGTGACCATTTTCTATGACAAAGTGAACTTCAGCATCTAATTACATCTGATGTGGGTCTGGCTCTGCTGAGATAATACGGGGGAAAGTCCGAGCTCTCATCCCTGCCTAGGGTTAATACTTGGGTAATTCTACCAAAAAAGCCCTCATTTGTTTCCGTGAGGACAACTGGAGTCGACAAGAGCTCCCTTTCACGGTCCAGCCCTGGACTGCAGCAATGCATGTACCCTGTTCAGGGTGTCCAGAGGCCACGCCCATCCCCAGAGAGGAGCAAGGACTCAGTGTGTGGCTCAGGCAGCTCCAGAGCATCCCCTTGCCTCTCTACGGTACAAATGGGAGACTGAGTCTGAGCCTGGCTTGGGAGGGGTACAGGGCCGATGGGAGGCGGGCTGGTGGGGAGCAGAGCCTTTGCTGCCCCTTGGGGTGAGCTAGTGACTTACAGATGTGGACCCAGTGGAGCTCTCACGCAGGGCAAGGTGCTGGCCCTCTGAGACCATCAGCAGGAGGGCTGAGGCTGGCGCTCTGCCCAGCCGCCTCTTGGTGGGGTCCACTGTGACTCTGCTGTGGTCGGTCTGGGGAACGCACTTGGACAACAGAGCAGATGGCAGGACCAGTTCTGGGTGATCTCACTCCCAGCCTGTCCAGGGGCACTGTGAGGGTCCATCCCTCTCTGGTTGGCTCCTCAGCTGACAGTGTGTGAACACAGCAAACGGCTGCTGCTGGGTGGCAGCCTATGCCTGCCAAAGACTAAACACCCTTGCAGCCACCGATCACCAAAGAACAAGATGCAGCCGTGCTGCAGATATAACCAAAGGCACCCACAGGAATGGGTCTCCAGTCTTTCACTCACATTTTAGAATTACATTTCCTGAGCAACCATTAAGATGCCAATCAGAAATAGAAGTTTGGCTTTTATTGCTTCTCCTGTTATTCATTAATATCATCATAAGGTTTTGCATTATTTACTTGGAGCTTCGCAAGGGGTAAGCTGCAAGCAGGTTGTAAGTGTGCCAAGATATTGATCCCTCAGCCTGCAGGCCAAGTACTTCGGGTGACCACAAGCAGCTTCTTCAGTTTATCATTTTCTGAAGAAGCCACATAATGAAAATCTTGGGTGTCACTGTGTTAATGGCTTGCTTCGCATTATGTCTGGCTTCAGGGCGTATAGTAAATCTTATCCAGTTCTTGTCTTGTTGTTGTTAAGCTCAATTTAGGTTCAAAATCATACATGATTCCTAAAAGCTATGGGGGAATGAGTGACATCACTCTAGTCTCTTCTCAAACAGTTCTACATAAGCGCGGTTATTATTTGTCCTGCGCCCTGGAGAATATCTGAGGGAGAAAGGGGAGAGGGGGAGGAAGGAGAGGGAGTGAGGGCCTGGGTGGTTTATTCACTGGGGCACTGGAAACCTGGAGTGCTTCCGAGCGAGCAGCATGGTGCTGTGTAGTAATCCTGAGTTCTCTAATGAGCCCCAGATCGTCCTTGAAGTTACCACCACAATATTCCTCCTTATTCTGGGAGCCACAGTCCAAGAGCCTCAGGGGACATCCAAAGCCACGGATAGTTCTAGACCCTACGTGTACTATGGTTTCCCTCTCCCTATAAACCTATCCTAAAGTTTAATTTATAAATTAGGCACAGTAAACATGCTCAACAACAACTAATAATAAAATAGAAAAATAGTTATAGCATTGGATTGCAATAAAAGTTATTTAAAAACGTAGGAATTGCTTCTGGAATTTTCCACGCGGTATTTGCAGACCACAGTTGACTGGACATAACCTGGACCACAAGGAAAGTGAAATTGCAGCAAGGAGGGAACTACTGTCCTGCAGGGCAGTGGGGGGCTAACCGTTACTTCTGACGTTCAAGAACCTGTCTGGAAGCACACCCGAGTTTCTTCACTAATATGGAAAACTGGGGTCAAATTAAACTAAATTTGACCTAAGGATGTCTCCATACTTTCAGTCCTACTGCAATGAACTTCAACCTAACGTAGTACATAAAGTAACTGACAGGCCAATTCGCCAGGGTACCCCTGTACACCAGTTTACTGCAGCTCATTGAGTACCCCACGCGGACAAGCTGGTTCCCCTCTCCGGGTCTGAGTTATCCCTTTTTCTGGAAGAGGGAGACGGCCTATGTGTCTCCAGTCCTCTGCACACGTCAAACAGCTGCACCTCTGTAGCTCTGAGCTCTAAAATTCCTCCCCTCCCAGAGGCAGTGCCAAGCTAAACCCTCAGCCCCAGGATAATGATCACTTTCCCCATTGTGCTCAGCATAAACAGGAAACCACGTCTTTCCTCGCTCTCTGTGTGAAGGGCTGTTTAACGGTGCATCTGTCAGAAGCATGTTGGCGTCCAACAGCTTGCACAGACAGGCTTGTGAACATTGTGCTCTCTTTGCAGGGCTAAAGCCCTAGGCTCTACGAGAGTTGAGATGACACACTGAGAGGAGCTGAAGACACACTGCCCTCATGCCTTTATAAGGACCCACACACGGAGTGTGCGACACAATAAGCAGGCACCAAGGTCAGGGCCGTGGGAGAATCAGACAGACCTGGATGCATGTCTCTGCTCTCCAGTGCTAACAGTGGACCAGTTTCTGAATCTCTTCAAGCCTGAGCTTGCTAGTCTGAAAGTGGGGAAAATAAACACAGATTCCATGGGACTACTTAGAAGACAAAATGCTGCACTGTATGCTACGTGCTTTGGTGTGATGTCTGGCCTCCAGCAGGCTCCTATAAATAACTGCTTGTCTCTTCCTTTCCTCTAACAGTTAAAGAATGTGCTAATATGATCCTGCAATGTGAAGAATACTGCTGGAATTATGTAAGAGAAGCTCTGTGTTCTTAGGAAATTCACACTGAGCTAAAATAGTGGGGGGTGGGGTGGGGGGAACATCCCCAAGGAGCTCTCAACAATGCTTCAGGAGACACAGTGCATAGCTGATTAGAAAGACTAGACTAGGGGCCAGTGCTGTGGCGCAGTGGGTTAACGCCCTGGCCTGAAGTGCTGGCATCCCATATGGACACTGGTTCATGCCCCAGTTGCTCCACTTCCTGTCCAGCTCTCTGCTGTGGCCTGGGAAAGCAGTAGAAGATGTCCCAAGTCCTAGGGCCCCTGTACCTGCATGGGAGACCTGGAAGAGGCT